TTCTTTACGTTATCTGCATGTCTTATTACTGTAATGGCCTTGTCTAAATTCATCTCGGGATCTAGCAACAAGCGATCACTAAGTTTCTCATCATTTAAACCCAGTGTTAGCACCATCAACACCATTTCATAATTAAGTGAACCCCAGTCACAGGTTTTAGCCAAGGAATGGAGACTAACTATAAACTCTTCAACTGTTTCATTAATTTTTTGTTGTCTCTTCAAAAACTTTGCTCTTTCAAAAATTAAGTTCCTCCGTGGAATAAAATGTTTGTCAAATAAATCTAAGACTTCTTCAAATGTTAGCGTTGATTCCGTTGCTAAATTAAAAGATGCAAAAATCTCATCAGCTTTCTCACCTAATGTGTATATAAGAGTGTTGATTTGTTTGTTCTCAGACTCTTCAGATAGCCCAGATGCTGACCGATATCTTTGAAATCGTGTTTTCCATCTTGGCCAATCTGCTGGTACAAAGGAGAAACTAGCTGGAGGTTGAATAACTGAATGAGTGTTTGATACAATGATTGACTTCTTAGTTGAATTGTTGTATTCATTTTCTCTGCTTCTTTCATTTTCATTATCTTCATAGTCAGATTGTTTCCTTATTGGATTTCTCTTCTGAGGCATAGCTCTAAACCGCTGCCACCATGTACGATTTTACTAAGAATTAAGTGAATGCACTGTTTTATGTCATAACTCAAACTCAACTAACTTTATTTACCTTTTTACAAACATAGAATAACAAATAAACATACTAGGTGGCGTTCGCAGAAGCATCCACAAAATTGAGCGGAGTCATCAATGGTTCATATTATATTGTTTTTGTCATACTGCAGTGAAAACAGTCGTCATTGATGCATGCGTTGCGGGTCTAAAGTAGCATTTTTACTCTTTAGGGAATAAAATTTGTGTTTAGCCTCTATGGAGTAAAACTCAGCTGTTGTCAACTCAGTTGTAAATTTCTATTGTAAACGATTGAATACGTATCGAATTATGTAACGATTCGTGCTTCATAATCATTTTAACCTACAGTCTACAGTCTCTTCCCATTGCATTTTAGCATTGCAGATACATTAATCCATTCCCACACTCAACACTGCCCACCTTTACTACTTCCTTCACCACCCCCTACGTCGTGGGCCTGTTTCCGTCTCTTACCATAGCATTTTAGGATTGCAGATACATTAATGTAATTGCCAAAGACAGTTTCCACACTCTGTACTGCAAGCCTTACTAATTCCTTCACCATTTCCTACGTCATAGACACATGTTTCCTTCCCTTCTCACAGCATTTAAGTATTAGATACATTTATGTAACTGCCCAAACGGTTCGCTCACTCTGCACTGCCAGCCTTTACTACTTCCTACGTCGTGGGGGATGTTTCCTTCCCTTCTCATAGCATTTTATGATTGAAGATACATTAATCTAACTGCCACAGACGGTTCTCAACATATGTTCATACCTACTTCCTAAGCCACTTCGCCCACTTCCTACATCGTGGACCTGTTTTCATCACTTTCCATAGCATTTTAGGAATTTAGATACGTTAATCTAATTGCCACAAACATTGCCCACACTCCGCACTGCTAGCCTTTACTACTTCTTTCACCATTTTCTATGTCGTGGGCATGCTTCCATCCCTTATCATAGCATTTCAGCATTGCAGATACATTAATATAACTGCTACAAACGGTTTCCAGTTCCCAAACTCCACACTGCTCACCTTACTACTTCCTTCACCTCTTCTTACGTCGCAGACATGTTTCCCTCTCTTCCCATAGAATTTTAAGATTGTAGATACCAAGATACCATAATCTAATCGTCATAAACAGTTCCCACACTCCGAAAAACTCGCCTTTACCACTTCCTTCATCTCTTCCTACGTCACGGACCTGTTTACCACCCTTCCCATCGCATTTTAGGATTGGGGATACCTTAATCTAATCGTCATAAACAGTTACCACACTCCAAAAAACTCGCCTTTACTGCTTTCTTCATCACTTCCTACGTCACGGACCTCTTTACTTCCCTTCCCTTAGCATTATTGGAATGCAAATACCTTAATCTAATAGTCATAAACAGTTTCCACAATCCGCACAGCTCGCCTTGACTATTTCCTTCACCACAACACGTCGCGGACCTGTTTTCCTCCCTTCCCATAGCATTTGAGGATTGCAAATACCTTAATCTAATGGTCATAAACAGATACCATACCCCGAACAGCTCGCCTTTACTACTTCCTTCACCACTTCCCACGTCGCGGACCTGTTTCCTTCCCTTCCAATAGCATTTTAGGATTGCAGATACCTTAATCTAATTGTCATAAACAGTTCCCACTCTCCGGACAGCTCGCCTTGACTACTTCCTTCACCACTTCCTACGTCGCGGACCCGTTTTCCTCCCTTCCAATAGAATTTCAGGAATGCAGATACCTAAATCTAATCGTCATAAACAGTTTCTCCACACTCCGGACAGCTCACCTTGACTACTTCCTTCACCACTTCCTACGTCGCGGACCTGTTTTCGTCCCTTCCCATAGAATTTTAGGAATGCAGATACCTACCTAAATCTAATCGTCATAAACAGTTCCCAGACTCCAGGCAGCTGGTCTTTACTACTTCCTTCACCAGTTCCCACGTCGCGGACCCGTTTTCCTCTCTTCCCATAGAATTTTAGGAATGCAGATACCTACCTAAATCTAATCGTCATAAACAGTTCCCAGACTCCAGGCAGCTCGTCTTGACTACTTCCTTCACCACTTCCTACGTCACGGACCCGTTTTCCTCTCTTCCCATAGAATTTTAGGAATGCAGATACCTACCTAAATCTAATCGTCTTAAACAGTTTCCACACTCCAGACTGCTCACCTTTACTACTTCCTTCGCCACTTCCTACGTCACTGACCTCAAGCTAGTGTCGTCATTTGATTATATTTATGATCCATACCACCGTTTATGTTCTAATATCTGTGGAATAATTCTATCAGCTATTTATTTATCTACTGCATTCAAAAGTCAACAGCTGATCATATGTCTTTGTTTATGTGTCAAATACTGATTCCATAAGGATTACATTGAAACTTTGAGACCCAGTGGGGCGGATTCCTGAGAGACTTTTTTAACGCCATATAGATGTTGGCACTCACCGATATGGTCTTTATCACCATGCAAAATTTGAAAACGATTGATTGAGCTGTCTAGGAGGAGTTTGCGTATTACGAAATGCATAAAAGTCGATGTATAAGAGCTTCGCTCGCTCCGCTCAATGATAATAATTAATAGAAATTAACAGGTGTTATGAAATAAACTGTTCTCACAACAAAATGTAATTAACATTAGGTTTTATGAGTACCTATAGGCTTGCTGCTACAGGGAGGGTAAACAATTTAGTTTTTCAGTAAAATATTAATAACTTTAGTATAAAATAAATAAATTTACCAAGTTTGATCAAAATATATCCATAAACAAGCTAACTACAACAATTTACAATATTCTCCATAACAATAACATGGGAATTTTAAATTTAAAATTTTCTCCATAACCAATAATTTTACAACAACACTTTGATATACTAAATGATTTTTTGACTGGAGAACAATTGGGAAATTTCGTGTTAAGGAGGGTCAAAAATTAGAAAACCCAATTTTTACCCCATATAAAACCCCGTTCCCATGGTCCGATCATGCTGGTTCGCGAAGCGCCTTCCTCCCTTACCCCTTCCTCGCATTCCCACCTTACTCCTTCAAACCAAATTTCATAAAAATAAACGGTATCAGCATTCTGACACATACTATCTCCCATAAGTTTGTCAACAACCTTTATCATGTGTAAGCGGTGAGAGTAAATATACGGAAATGGGATTTGTACAATTTTGTTCAGAATTTAAAGGACTATATAACATACTAAATTTTTATCAAAATCGTTCGGGCCATTTTTGGGAAAATCCTATTTTTCCGTTACTTTATGGGGTTTTATGGGAAAATCCCCATCTAAAATCAATTTCTAAAAAATAAAAAAAACTATCAGAAATTGTAAGGACTATAACCTACTATGTTAAATCAAAACTGGATTTTTGTCTAAAATCCTATTTTTGGTTATTTTATGGGGTTTTAATGGGAAAATAACATAATTTACCATAACTTTTGAACCGTAATTTTTACAGAAATGGGATTTGTACCATTTTGTTCAGAATTTAAAGGGCTACAACATACTAAATTTTAATCAAAATCGTTCGGGCCATTTTTGAGAAAATTCTATTTTTCCGGTTTTTTATGGGTTTTTATGGGAAAATCCCCATTAAAAATCAAAATTTCAAAAAAATGAAAAAAACGCCTGGAGATACCATGGATTAGAACCTACATACCAAATTTCATCGAAATCGGACCACAGGTGTAGTCTCTAGCTCTGTACACATCCAGACACACACACACACACAGACATCACTTCGAAAACCACTTTTTGGGTCCAGGGGGACCCAAAATAAATATATCCACTCAAAACTCAAACTCGAAAATTTTGACGAAAACAATACTTTCTCCATATACTATGGTATAGGGGGAGAAAGTAAAAGGACAAAAATTACTCAAGTTATCGTGTTCACGGACACACATACACATGGCTTGGGATAAATAAAGTTTTCATTTCATATATACATATAATTTGAACGAATGGTGTTTTTGGCCTCTGGGGACATCAAAATAAAAAAAGTAAATCGGTCCCAGGCCTAGGTCTTACTATGCCAACTACGGTAATAACTACTTCCCTAAAGGGAAGGGAACTTTCGCTAATACACGTACGTTTATGCCGGCTGAACAACATCAGTTTGCTATGAATGCTTTCTGTTGCAAAACATGACAGTACATAGCCTTCCTGTCTGCTGAATTTACAGGCAAAAACAGCAGAGTTTAGCTCCAGCTGACAAACTTTCCCCGACAACCAATCAGCTTGCAGTTTGATTGTGCCACAGCACAGCACAGTTCTGTTCTGTTGTTCTGTTCTGGACGTTCTGGTTTTCCCTAGCAGACAGCAAATATTGCAGGAATGGAATCGGAATGACATCAATGTGGTGAAGCCTAGCTACCTTGACTTGACAGATGGGGGTTAACAAGTGAAAACAAGATTTCTAATTTTAATTCTTTTGGTTTGAGAGAACCGTAAGTCTTGCGACCAAGTAGATAGTTTTACTAATGATCTGAACATGGATACCAGTCATTTTAAATATTTGCTTGCGTTGTTTTTAATAGTTTTTGTTGAATATTCTATTACATCTAATATTTCACCTGACAGTAAACGATTGTATCACGATATCGCATCTGGTCGTGGATTGTACCATGGTTTTAATGAAATAACTGAATTGGGTGGTAGTAATTTTAAGAAAATTGTTTATAATGAAGAAAAAGAAAAACTTTGGGTGGTTGAATTTTACAACAGTTGGTGTGGACATTGTCACAGATTTGCTCCAACATGGAAAGCTTTAGCAGTAGATATTTATGGTAAGTAGGCTAAACACTTTCATCTTTAAGTTATGTCTTTTGTTGGGTTCACTGTGAGTCTAAGTTAATTAGTACTGATTAGAACTAAAAAATACCACATCATTAACTTAGCTTAGGCCTATGCCTAGGTAGGTACCTGGTTTTACTATAGGTGAAATACCCAAAGCCCCATACACGTACTAACATATATTCAATCAACATTTTTATCTAAAAATATACACCCACGTGTGTCCGGGGTGTACAAATTGAATCCTCTTATAAATATCAAATGACTAAAATAATGTCAGACTAACTTATTTTAAATTGTGTGTCAAAAGAAATCTGGGAATGGGACCCCTAAGTTTCCTACAAAACGACATGAACAGAACAGACTGTAGTTAACATTATTTTCTACTTCTATTCCGGGTTGCTGAGGAGATAGGCCAATCTGATGAATTTGAACCATGGTGTCTTTGCATGGAAAATTACTTGTACGGTAACCTTCCTAACTTAACTTTTTTTAATTTAAAACGTTTGATTTTTTGAACCAATCCCTAGACAGTAGAAAAGTTAAAGTTAGTTTCATCGAGGCTTGTATGCAAACTTATCAACCTATTAATTATTTTTTTATACAAGCCTAAGTTTACTGGTAACTTAGGCCTACTGTATACAAAATTAGACGGATGTGTCATTAATGTCTAAAAACAAATTAAGGTCCCCATTGACAGCCAAGCGAACCAGTTGAATTAGACTATTGACGATAAAAACAAATCTAATAAAAAACCTGATAAGTTTACTTGGCGGAAGTGCCAATTTACTTTCACAATGTTTTCAAACACTGGCAAGACTAGGCCTAATCGTTCCATATTGGTGGTAAACCAGTTAGAAAGTAACTTAGCTGCGACAGAACTTGATGGATACCCTACAGACAACCCTGGTACATACCAACAAAAATTACTCTGCCTATTGCGAGAATCAGGGTACCTATCTTTAAGGAGAAAATATATGCATCTTGTTTCCGAACACAATCACTACAGTTTTACAAAGTCATGAACAAATTAAATAGGGGAACTGGGTTCAATTTAATAATGAAGAGTTGTGTCATTAACTCAGAACAGGTGTAACTTCTTTAGCTAGGAAACACTGAAATAAGTTAGTTATTAAGAGCACAAAGTATGTCATTGCCGCTCGGCCAGAAAGAACTCTATTTAAGGGCGAATCTAGTAGTCGATCGTTTCTGAACCCATCCCGTAACTTATTAACAAATTATGCTTCATAGCCATTAGGTACCAATTGATTGATAGTTAATAAGACTTTTTACAAACATATAACACTAAGTTAGTTCCAGTTTTTAGAAAAGCTATAGGTAAATGTTAAGCAGTGGTGATAGCAAACTGAAAACTGTTTTAAATTCAGAGTTTTAAGGCATAATCTAATGTTAGACAGAGTAAGCAAATGTACTCATGTCTTTAAAGGTAAACATATGAAAACAAATGTGCCTACTTCTTCAAATGTAAACAGTATCAGGCGTACTTAACACCTTCATCATTGTTAAAACTCGCTGTCACGTTGACTGATCAAATATTGTTTTAGGTGATGAAGTGTGCTAGCTTCAATGATACCAATGTGTCAAGAGTAGTCTCGTATGATGAGTGTAATTTCATTACCCAAAATAAAATACATTGTAGAAATGGTTTGGAATTTAATCAATTACATTGTAGGATTAAGATAATTCCCTTTTACACTTTTTGAATGAAAGTTAAAAATGATGTATGTAGGTTAATTAATCATCACAAAAACTGATTAAACCTAGGTAAATTTGTATTGCTGCCACTTTAAGGTTTCAGTCAAAGAGTCAAATAAATTTACTGTTCTTTAATAGTCTGTCAGCAGCGGTATGTTATTTTTTGGATTGTAGTCGACTTTAAAGACAAGCATTATGGGTTGAGTCTGAAAAGGTTTATTTGGGCCTACTTATCAAAAGAGGGTTGTTGTATGTAATGTAAGATTTTTTCATTGTTGCCTTAAGACTTCATATTTGGACTTCTAACTTTTAATCCCAATAAGCATTTGGAGCAGTCCAGTGTTTAAAATCATTATTTAGGCCTAGTGTTTGTTCTCATATAAATAGTTAGTTAAATTCATTAATAGGCCTAAATAAGTGCCGTAGTTTAATTTTTAAATGTGTTCTTATTTTTATCAACTTGCCCATTGTGTACAAAATAACACTGGTTGATTACAATCTATAGAAGTGCTGTAGGCCTATTAATCACGTCTGCAGATCTAGACATGTCAAATTGTTGACTCATGCCCAATAATACCTTGTTGATGAGTGATGCCCACTATTTGGCCATATCTACAAATATGTCTTTTATAAAAACTATTTTTGTATTTTATAAATTATTTCAATGCCAGGAATGTTTGGAATTTACTCCTCATTTTAGTGAATTTCCCATATAGGGAATAATCTATTTCAGTACAACGTAGAACGTAGATCTCATGATAAGACCTAATACAAAGACTGACTACTTTTTCATTTTTGACTCTTCAAGGGCCATAAACACTATTTGTTCAAATTCATACTATACTTAGTTGTGTGTCTGTTAGCACCATCACACAAGTAAAAATTGTCCGATTTTACAAAATTTGGCACAAACATCTCCTTAATTCAAACATGCTTGGGATTCGGGTACCAGCCTGTTTAGACTATGAGAACAGGGTTTTATGGAGTAAAAATTTGGTTTTCCCCAATTTTTTCTTTCAAAACTTAAAGTTTAGCAATTTATTTCTTAACTATGCTCTAGAGCTTAATAGGCCTAAAGCAAATAATTTAGTGCAGTATTTCTTGTACTGGAATCGAACCAAAGACCTTCTTATTTCAAGGCGAGCACAGTAACGTAATCACTTGGCTACCCTTACTATCTCCTCTTTGGCAAGATCTAAAACCATAGAGCTATGCTATAATATTAGCCTACTTTAACACTTTTGCAAATAAGCAATCATAAAAATCTTATTTAAAATTATAATGACAGTAAAGTATTTTCTTATGGTAATTGCAAGGGAAACGTAACCTTTAGAAAGACTGTCAAATGACGCAAGTCATGTTCTAATAAAACTTTATACAACAGACCTACTGATGGTGTCTTCTGATTTTGTTATCTCTACCGTCACATCATTACCTCATTGGTTTGAATGAAACAAAAGATAATAAACTGACACTGAATCAATTTCCGTTGGTAATTTCTTTGTATAGGAAAACAATTACCTAGATCTTGTAAATAATATGTGTCCCTTGGGTGTAATAATGAGAAGCCTGCTGGTTTAGCCAATTATATTTCTTATGTTATGCCTATATTTGCTATTGAAACCGAACCCTGACAGTTTATGAAATTTTCTGTTCTTGATCATTGATCCGTTCCGGCGTGTTCCCCCGCAAATCCAGCACCCACTTTAAATACTACAAGTCGACATTTTATCCTATTGTTAAATCTTAAAAGATAGTTTTTATGTGCTTCATGTTCCATATGTTTTATTAGGTTGATGGACAAAATGTTCCCTTATTTTAGGTATAATATTCAATATTAGGTATTTTAGGTAAAGGACAAGCGACATTTTCGAAATAGTTCAGTTTAGTTAAAACAGTTATAAAGCTAGAAAAATTAAAAGAAATAAAAATAAATTTGACTACGTCTACTGGAGAGGAAAATAACATTATAATTCTCAGCTGATTAGTAAGAATAAATGTATTAAAACACATGTTCAATTTAAGATTAAGCTTAACAGCAATCATTTGAAGGTTTTAATAACAATAAGATACTGTAACGAAGGCAGACAGAACAAAGACAATCGACTTAATGCTGTTACAAGAAAGCTGTCTTGGACCTTTTGTTCATTAAGTTAAACCACTTATCTTGATTGGTTGTTTTGTTAGACAAGTTTAACCTATTTTTCCTGAAGAGGAATCTGCTGTTGTGAATTTAGTTCTTAATTTAGTTTATCTCCAATCTACAGTATTTAGCCTATACACGTTTCCTTTAATGTCTTTGTCAAGTAAAAGTTGATTTGGAAGCTGATATAAATGTTAAGGTGTTTTATCTTCATGTTCAATATTAAATCTAAGTGCTAGTATTTCTGAAACCATCTGAAACATTTTCCAGCATGATAATGTGTTGCATTATCCTCTAATGTAAATTGGGAAATATCTTAAAACATTTTAAAAATTTTAGCCAATTGCCCTATAAGGAAGAAGTTATTATTGTAGGTGGCCCGGAAAGACCGAGGGACCTGAAACCGATTGAGTTTTTCATTATTATTTTCTTCTAGAGAGCAAAAAAAATTTTCATTAAAATTGTGTTGTTATAACGATAACTTGAATAATTTTGGTTTCATTTTAATGAAATTTGGCATGAACGTGTAGAGCTAGATACAAATGAATGAGTTAGCAAAATCGGGCCATAGAAACAAGGTTATATGAGGTTTAAAATTGGTAACTTAAAATAAAAAAAGAAAACATTGTCTAGTGCTCAAAAACAATTAACATTGTATATTGTAGCACTTAAATTGTGGGCTAAAGTTTTGGAATAAATATCTATAGCCTAAACAATTTATTTAAAATTCTCTTGTTAATCTTATGGCGAAAAAGTAAACTGTAGGCCTAGTATATTTTGCTGGTTTAAAAATTAATATATTTGGATCAAATTTAATTACTTTACCTATAATACTATGCTAATAATATTTTACTAAAAAACTTTTTCCTTCCCTTTAGCAGCAAATCCAAGTACCCGTTAAATCTAATGTTAATTAAATAAGGTAGGCCTATAAATCTGACGAGTTTTAATAACAAAATAAATATTTTAATAACAATCCAATCAGACGAATGGAAATCTCTTTAGTCTGCATGTTTGCCGTGGCAGGGGTATTACTCCCATACGAGACGGGAAATATCCTAAAACATACAAACCTAACAGAATAAATTGTTGTTTCTTACAAAAAGCTCTTAAAACTTTCTGCTGGATCAAATTAGTATTAAGTTTTATTTGGTACAACGCTGAAATCCCCACCATTGCAGAATGTGTTTTAAGGTAATAATGTCGTATCGAGGTGACATTAAAGGAAATCAAAGTACAAACATAGATGGTAGGCATGAAGGTCATTTGCATAATGCCATTACGTACAAGTCTCACGTACACAGATAACAGCGATAGCGAGTAACCAATCAGGTCGTAGCAAATATTTTAGATTTTCATCAATTTGAAAGTTGGTACAACTGATAGTTAGTAAAGCTATATTATATTGAACTTTCCTCACAACATTAACGACACGATGGTAGACATTAACAGGGAAATTAACACAAGGAAAAGTGTAGTAATAATTTCTTGGGGAGTTAAAAATTAGAAAAGAGTAGTAGGGCTACTACCCAATTTGAATAAAATTTTCAATAACTGATTATAAATTCAATTGTTAGCTCAGGAGGTTCAACTAATTATTTTTTTTTTCTAGAATTATTTTCAACAGTCAAGCTAATTGAATCTAATAATTAATTGTTTTATGAATAAGCTGCATACAAATTGAAAACAAAATCCAGGTGCCCAACAATAATGTTCAAAATGTTTTCCAAAACATAATTCCAATAATTATTTAGTTTATGTAAAAAATACTTAGGCCTATGTAAAAGTTGGTCTCATAGATCGATGTTAGCAGTTGAAGTGACTCAATCACCTCACTTCAGGGTTAATCTATTCTAATTGAAGTTCAACAGATGGTCGAAAAATTACAGCATGTTAAAACCGTCACATGGCTATATCAAAACACAGTTATGGTGTTAGATGATGAAAACTTAAGTAAAAATACCCCCGCCGCAGCAAACCTGCTGACTAAGCGAATTTCCATTTGTCTGAATTTATTTTCAACTAAACCTATTTAAATAACATAAGGTTTAATGAGTACCTAGGTTTGCTGCTACAAGGAAACTAATAAATTGTATTTTTTAGTAAATTATTAATAGCCTAATATAAAATAAATAAATTTGCCAAGTTTGATCAAAATATATCCATTAACAAGCAAACTACAACATTTTACAATATTCTCCATAAGAATAGCATGAGAGTTTTAAATTTACAAATTTTTGAATTTTCTCTGTTACTAATAATGTACAAAAACAGTTTGATATACAACATTATTTTTTTTTTAAGCTCTTTAAAAAGGTCTAGACAGAAATTAGGACATTTTGTGTTTTGAGGGTCAAAAATGAGAAAAACCATTTTCCCCCCACAAAACCCCCCGTAAAACCCCGTTCCCATGGTCCAATCATGCTGGTTCGCGAACTCATTCAAGTTCATCCCGCCTTATATATATATATATAAATATATACAAATTTTAACAAATGGTGTTTTTGGCCTCTGGGGACATCAAAATGAAAAAGTAAATCGGCCCCGGGCCTAGGTCTTACCATGCCACCTACGGTAATAGCTACTACCCTATAGGGAAATTCGCTAAAAGTTAATTTATTGTTTCTTTTACAGTTATGGCCAAGGACTAGAAGCAACAGTTTTAGTTACTAATTGATGTACCCCCTGCAATCACAATTCAACAGTTTTCGAAGCTTCAAAAAAATCTAAATTTGACCACTTTTTACTGAAAAGTTGTGACATTAAATGGTTTTTGTGAATACCAAAAGCCATGAATTTTGTAATATTTACCAACAGTAATATACTTTGCACTGATTTTTTCCCCTCAGTTGATCATAAATTATCTGATAGTGGCTTGTTTCAGACTGGGGCGACTCGGTAAAGATTGGAGCCGTTGATTGTGCCAATGACGCCAACAATCAGCTGTGTCGAGATTTGGAGGTCATGTATTACCCGATGATCAAGATCTTCCCTCCACACTCTAATGAAAGCTTCCTGGGCGAGGCGTTTGAAAAGGGAAAGATCAACGAAATGAGGGACAGGATTGTTACAAAGCTGAAAAGCCACCACAACAACCACTCACCTGAAGAAAGAAAGAATTTAAACTTGAAACCTCTGACAGCGACAAAATTAGATGAAAATTTATGGAAAGAAACCCCATCAGAAGTAAAATATCTCGTGCTAGTGTTTGAAGCTGAAGACTCAGTGGTAGGGCCGACGTTGGCATTGGACATTTCTGCGGTTGCTCAAGAAGTAACAACAAGAGTGGTAGATTACAGTAATGAACATCTCGCTCGAGAACTGAACGTAGACCAAGGCGCTAACACTGTTGTTGTTATACACAGGGATTTGACCCATACGAAAATAGAAGTGGGGGAGTTCACCCGGAGAGAAGTCAACAAAGCTGTTAGAGGATTCCTCAGAGAACACGGAGTGGACATTGCAGCGGAGCTACCTGAAACTCCCACTGTGTTCAGTTCCGACGTAGACTTGAGCGACGTCATGCACATCATGCAAATGGAGGAGGACATCAAGAAGAAACTGCAAACGACAGCTCTCTCGTCAGTGGTCTTTCAACTGGACTTGGAGGGAGCTATTCGGTACTCGTTGAAAAATGAGATATCTCTACACAGAAACATCAGCGGGGAACATCTAGACGCTTTGAAAAGCTTTGTGTCGGTGCTCATCAAGTACTTCCCTTTCGGACAGCAAGGACTCAAGTTTTTGACAGAGTTGAAAAAGAGAGCGCTAGATGACAAGGTGGATGTTTCAGGCAAAGATGTTCGGCAAGTCTTCATGAAGTTGGAGGATGAGTTCAAACCGTTTCTTCCTCATCAAGGATGGATCGGCTGTCGAGGTAGTACTCCGGAGTTCAGAGGTTATCCTTGCAGTCTGTGGACGTTGTTCCATACACTCTCCGTCCACGAGGAGCTCAAGGATAGGAACAGCACAGATGAGAAACCCGAGGTCCTGTCAGCCATGGCGGGCTACATCAAGAACTTCTTCAGCTGCAGCGAGTGCTCCGCACATTTCACTGAGATGGCAAAGACCATCGCTGGGAACGTGACGACCCAGCATGACATGGTCATGTGGCTGTGGTCGGCTCACAACAACGTCAACAATCGTCTCGCAGGCGACGCCACTGAGGACCCTCAGCACAAGAAAGTTCAGTTTCCAAACAAAGAAGCTTGTCCTTCTTGTTACACCATGGAGGGATCTTGGAACAAATCCGAAGTCTTTAACTTCCTTAGTCACATGTACTCGAATGTTGTCTACCTACAACCCGAAGATCTCAGTACGACCACACCTGCTCCTGGAAGCGTGCCGTCCGCGACGCAGTACGATAAGAACCTCAGGCACGAGATGTACGGAGACGACAGAGGCTTCAAAAATCAACGTATTGACAGTTCTTCCAGAACACTGTGGGGCTTCAACATCTTTGATATTAGCTTATGTGTATTGTTGTATATTTGTTCTGTAGCCATTTTAATTTTAGTCTGCATCAAGTTTGTTTTCAAAAGATCTTACAGAAAGAAGCATTACATCCATGATATTTTGAGTAAAGTCTGAGATTTCACTGAAAACTTACCGTTACATTCCATGGGCTGCACAAGTATTGAGTTTGTGTTATGTTACCCAACTACTGTTTTATCTATCAATTTTAATAAAATATTTAAGCGCAGTGCAGTGTATGTAATTTGCCTTTATATTATAATAGCCATTGTTAAGTTTTATATTTTTCCCTTAACCAACGGTACTTTGAAATTCTACTATTTTGTGAAACCTTTTAAAATCAACTGAGTAGCAATCAAAATTTGTAGCAAGTCTTCCTATCCTTTAATTTACTATTTTAAAAGAATAAACTATTGTTACTAGGCCTACCTATCTGATATAACTTAATAAACAATACAATAATCTAACTTGCGGTAAAGCATGAAGACAATAGGCAGTCATTTGAGGGGAATCATAATAGCCTACATTAGAGTAAAGTCTTCGCATAGAAATTTCAAAAGTTTTACGATACCGTCCAATGTAAAATATCTACTAGAAAATGTAAACCCATTAATAGAAATAAATCATAAAATCATAAATCATAAATTAATAAATCATAGAATGATCTAAGGGCTATTTATTACAAGGCAGCTTCAAATTACACACACTCAATATTTTAAGTTTTGTTAGTTGTTCAAAATTTATGACACCCAATAAATAAATGATGAAACATTGTCACCAGGGAATTAATATTGAGAACTATAATTGTTTATTAGAGTATTAGAGTCACTTTAAACATGTTCAGATTAATCAGAAAATTCTTTGTTGATTGTTGACCAACAGCTGGAAATCACCTGTAGGCCTACTTTAGAATTAGATAAAAACATCACATATTTTAAAAAAATTCAATCTATCTTGTCTTTCTTCTACGAACAAATTTAGCGTATTGTGAAAAATATTGTGAATTTTATTTATGTTTATAAATTGTTTATATTTTATATGTTTGGTTATTTAAACCTAATTATACGAATGTGCAGCATTTGAATTCGAGGTTGTGTTGCTTTGTTTTAATTTTGATAAAAATGAATGACTTTCCTATTCGAGGAACAGTTACAGAATTGTGTGCAGTTTTTTGTTTAAATATTGTAATCAAAGTTGTGTCTACTTAATGAACAAATATAAAGAAGTAATTATCTATTTAGCACACCCTTCGTCTAATCTCTCTATTTTATTTAGGTGAATAGTGTTACCAATTTGTATTGTATCGTACCTGATCGTGTAAACTATAACTGTCCATTCCAAATTTTGCTAGGATGAACAAATGCATGAAAAAATCTAATTTGGCCTGTTCCGAATTGAGATTCTAGCATGGTTTGTAGATTGTAGATATTTTATTTTAATATAAGGATCTGCCGTATGTTTTAATTTATTGTTATCAAGTGGTTTGCAGGTTAGTAAGTGTGATTTTTGTATTTATATATTTTATTAATAATAAACTATGGACTATACTGGTATGGTGTATTATTTTCAAATCTTTCTAAAAAAAAGTCCAAAGAGTTTTTAAAAGTGTGTACTGCTATTGTTAAAAACAAAAACCCAACCTTTGGATGAAGAAAAGATGCGGCGTCATGATACCCCGAAAGCGGAGATATTCTTTAAAAACCCAGTACAAAAGTTCTAAAGGGTTTGAATTCATTTCAAAAGAAATTTTCACCTTGACCACAACAGAAACTTCGCTGTGCCATTTGGATCTTTATCGGCACTAATTTAGACCACCACAACCCACAAACTATACTTAGCCTAAACTGTACAGGGTGTGCCACATTTGGTATCTCAGAAACTATTAGATTTAGATAGAAAATTAAATGGAGAACTTCAATGTCATAAAAAATATGAATTCCAATGTTTCAAAAATAGCTGCCATTTTCCTATATGGCAGCTAGCTTAAATATTTCTTATGGAACACCCTGTATTTTATGATTGATTTAGATTCTAGATGCAATTTTAATACTTTTTTAGTCTTAGCATTTTATTTCTAAACGTACTCGTTTAGGAGCTAAAGCGTGTTAAACTTTGAAAAATTAGTTTGCCTTGTCATTATAGTCATTGCCATTTATTAGCTAATTTTTCAAAGTTTAACATGCTGTAGATCCTAAACAAGTAGGCATAGAGAGAAAATTCCAAGAGTAAAAAAGTATTAAAATTGCATATAGAATCTAAAACAATAATAAAATACAGAGTGTTCCATAAGACATTTTAAAGTTACCCGCCACATTGGAAAATTATGGCCCTTTTTTGAAACATTTGAATAAATTTTGTTTACGTCATTAAAAACTAGTTTAAGTTCTCCATTTAATGTTCTCTCTAAATCTAATAGTTTCCTTTTTGAGGTACCATTGGTGGCACAGTTAAGGTGTTCAGCCTTTATAGCAATAACAAGTAAGACCAGAAAAAATTAAAACAATTGTTTCAATAACAAAAGTTTCTTAAAACTGATAAAAACACTTTTATAAATAAAAACATTACAATAATCTTTCTCAGAGCTCTCGCCATTAACTTCTTCGTGAGAAATTCATCCGGGAAACCCATCCATTAACGTCATTGTACTAGCATTAGTGGTTTGAGCAACTGTCTGTAAATGAGCCTGGAAATTACTGTAGTAATCATCGCTTGAGATGTAATTAAAAAAGAGAAATCCTGGGTCTAAATACAAACTTAAAAATATGAAATAATTAGCAATGATTCACAATTGTTGTACTGTATACTGTATTAACCTTGAAATAGAGCACAAGATAATTCATTAGTCTGTAAAAGAAGGGAAAAAAATCAAATTTCTGAAATTGGTAAACTGTAAAAACGTTTACTACATTACCAACATGATTCAATTGGTGTTTTTCCTTAGAACCAACATTTTGAACATGTTATGTATGAAAGTACAACTGAATATCAACAATAGACAATCATCTCTTCCAAGATGATTGAAAGATGACATGCTAACTGGCAAATTATCTTGTATTGAATACACAAACACTCTGCCATACATTGTCTGGTTCTTGAAGTAGCTATACTTATAACAATCTGTCAAAAATCTAAATTTATAATGTGATAGTGCTATTTCAAAAGAAAAATATCTAATGTAGAAGAATCCTGTGATTGTGCTGATTTTTATTTTCATCGGATAATTAATAATAATTAGTAGATAGTTAATTTGAGTTATTAACTTATACCAATTTTGCATGATCCGATTCCAATGGTTAGGTGAAGTTTCTAAAGAGGAAGGTACAATATCTGTTCTAGGTTTGGTTTGTTACTTTTAGTTGTGTTTTGTTATGATTAACATCTATGCACTTGCCTAATGCAAGATTTTCAATTAGCCTTACATCAGTGACAAACCAAACCAGAGGCGGAAACAATTTGAAAGTAAAAATAACGAATCATCAATGTCCTTTTGAAACCAAACATTTTAATTTATTGATTCTCAACCCCTTTGGCATATGATTTAAATCCTTTACGAGATAAATAGTTAAAATTACTATTGTCAATTTGAATCAACAAAGCTATAAAACATCATTGCTTAATGGTCTTTCAATAGATGGCAACCCCCAGACTTGTAATGAGATCTTTCTGAAATTATGTGCCATAATTTTTTACTAAGGACGTAATTTATGCTCAAAAGCCAAAATACAAGCTTCCGCTTTTTCATCTCTGCTCACTAAACTCAACTTCTTAGGATAACAAAATAACCCTGTGATTCTTTGAACTGTTATGTAATTAACAAACTTATCATGTAAATTCAGACACTAAACCGCGACCCGCTTGTTTTAATAAAAGATAACCTCAGTTTGGGATTATGAGTGTATCAAAAAGTTTTTTAAAAAGCGTTTAACACAAAAATTCATTGATCACTGATTGAGCAATGTTAGCACTCATGAAATTTCCAACAATCCTGTTTTTGATCTGGTTTACTTTCATAGAGTTTTCAGAGTCATATGTTGTTCGCAGAGATGTAAAAAGTGATTTTGATGATTCTAATGGTGCAAGCTTGTACAATGGATTTTGCAAAATGGTGGAATTAAATAGCACTAACTTCAACCAGGTAGTTTATCAAGAACAGAAGGATAAACTATGGCTGGTGGAGTTTTACAACCATTGGTGCGGTTACTGTATACGATTTGTAGCTGTGATGAAGGCTTTTGCAACTGAAGTGTACGGTGAGTAAATAACTTTAACTTTATTAAGGAATTTTTTTAAAGAAAATAATTCAAGTAGCTTATCTGAAAAAAAGTCTAGGGGCAAAAAGATACACAATAAAAGAACACAGAAAATAACAGTGATATTTCTTCCTGAAGTAGAACTTCTTGAGAGAGTATTTCTCTTCAACCAAATCTCTAAAGAAGTTACTCTGGACTCTTAATTTCCTCCGGTAAGCTGGATGAACTCTATTCCTTTTCAAGAAATTTTGTACCAGCCAATTGGCTTTCAATTAGAATATAAATAACTTTATTGTAATTCAAGTTTAACAATTTTTAGCCATGACCATTCTGATAACTAGATAACAATAACGTAATTGTATATTACGTTACTAGTCCTGAAACCTAGTGTTCTAGTGTTTACCGAACAAGTGTGGTCATTCACGTGCGAGACAATGTCGAGTGCGGGATTAACGAGTCCGGTAAATATATTTTGGACGAGTGACGTATGATATTTTACGCCATACCATAAGCTAACTTAACGATAAAAAATCTGTAAAAATCCTAATATATTTCCACCGACTAAAGCACTAAACACTACTTATAACCTCAAAGAGATGTTATGTTTTCACTCCTTACCAAATAAATAATATAAGCTGGTTGGTGTCCAGTAAAATTTCATTACAGTACATTAGTACGTGATGAAACACCATTAGATTGCTGGCGGCAAACAGCTGTTTTCTGGATGGGAAGTTCGTTAAAATAACAGTGTAGTGCGGTGTAAAATCACAGATCTTATTAATGTATGCAATTCTTTCTAATACATTGTTTTCCACTTACACCACTATATTGTAGAAGTGCAATTTTTTAAAAAAAGCTAAAAGGCAAATTTGTTGCTAAAAAGCAAACTATATAATATTAATATTTTGACTGGATTCTTCATTAAAGAAAATGTTAAATGTAATGTTAAAAAAAAACTTCTACAAAAACTACTTCTAACGTATTTTCAAAACCACTTCTCAATTTCAATTCTTATCCCTAGAAGCTTTCATATTATTGGGATTGTTATTTACATTATTTGAGGCAACTTCACATTACCCTTTTCTACAGTATGTCTCACAAAAATTCAATTTGAAAATTTATGATACCCTTTCTCAAACCTACACTCTAAAATGAAAGACATGTTCTGATTTGTTTTTAGCTTATCACTCAGTTTGAGCCAACTAAAAAAAGGGATTGTAGGATTACGTACCACATGCACTGAAAAAGTAAGTACTATTGTGATACCCTTTGTGTTATACGACTGTGTTCAGATGATGACCACATGATGCTTAAGATGGAAACATCAAATTCTAATTAATTCACACAATCTAATAATTCTCATTGTACTTGCAGATTGGCGAGATGTAGTCAAGGTAGGTACTATCGACTGTGCAAATTCAATGAACAATCAAATCTGCCGAAATCATGAAATCAAAAGAGTACCGTCAATCAAAATCTTTCCTCCACACTCAGAAGAAAACTTTGTAGGATTAGAGTTCGGAAAGGGGTCAGAGACTACAGTTTCTGAAATGAGAGAAAAACTTGCCCAGATACTCAAATCCTACCATAACAGTCAGAAGGAAATCAGCGGACCCGTAAATTTGGAACTTTTTAAGCATTATGAAATAGAAAAGCTACGGAGCGAGATGATGCCTCCAGTTACTTATCTTATGCTTGTGTTTGAGCCGAAAGATTCTCTGGTTGGAGCTCAAGTAGCTTTGGATGTCTCTAGAACTCCAGAGATAAGAGTGCGATTAGTGCATCCAAGAAACACAAACCTTACACATTTGGTTGGTATGGAGGAGGGTAAGAGTGGTGCAGTGATTTTACAAAGACATTATCAACTCTCTACACATTCACATTCAAACTTTTCAGAAGGTTTGTTAGTAGAAAACAATGATATACCAAAGGAAGATTTAAATGTGAGTGTGTTGGAAGAAGAAATTAAATTATCTTCACAAGCTGATCAAGCCAACGATATTAATCAAATAACAAATATCTCACAGTTCGAGTTCATTCCGTTAGAGACTAAAAACTTTACCAGGGACGGATTGAATAATGCAGTACGAAAATTCTTGCGTGAACACGGTGTCGATATAGCTGCAGAGTTACCTAAAACGCCAATCATTCACACAAACGTTTCAGTTGATGAAATCAAGGAAGCCATGAGGAGGGAAGAAGTGCTGAAACGAGAACTCAACGTAAAACATTTGTCCTCAGTTGTTTTCCAAATGGATATAGAATCAGCTTTAGAATATGCCTTGAAGGGAGAAATA